CGGGTATTCTAGTATACTACTAAAAGTCAAGTTTGTTTACATGTTTGAATATTTATTTTTTTGTTTGTTTGCCTGATTGACTATTGTGATATGTTCTACTCTATCTGGAGAGCTGTAAAATAGTATGTAGGTAGAGAATAATTTTTTAATGCAGACAGACCGTTAATCACACATTTATTTAAAGACGTTAATTAATTTATTGATTTATTCATACGTAGAGTAACCCTATTTTTTTTTAAAGTTTAGAACGACCACTACACTCGGCGGGACCGTGACGTCACATTTTATTGTTTACTCTTTAGTACAATAAAATGGCGGCGTCTATCGAAGAAAATTGTGTTCCCATTCAAAAGTTTAACGCATTCTAAATCTAATTTTCTGTCGGTCATAACTTTAACAATATGTCCGTTTGCTGTATTTATTACGTTCCAACACTTATATCAATTTTAAACTGTCTTTTTTCATTTAGTTTTACAATAAATTTCTCTAGATCTAAAGATCAGCTGTCGAAGGAAAGTTATGAATCTAGCCTAGATTCTAGATCTAGATCTAGCCTAGATCTAGGTCACTCTAGACTCAATGTAAATTCTAGATCTAGACTTAATGTAAATTCTACATCTAGAATCTATTTCAGGCCTTAATTATTTTATATAAATCTTTGTTTGGCTAATTTAAGATAAAATTTAATTTGAAAGTTAGTACTACTAGACTTAGATCTAGATCTAGAATCTATCCGCGTAAATCAAGTTGCATAAGGAGACGCATAGTATAGTATAAAAATTCACTTGTGACGTCACGAGTAAATAGCTAAGCTGGTAGCGTAGTCGGCTCTCATGGAGGTGGCACGGGTTCTAAACCAATATGTCGATGAAATTTTTTTTTTCAATTTTTTTTTTTTAGATGTAAATGAAAAAGTTGCCTATCTGAACTTGGCAAGATACAGGGCAGGTGAAGTAGAGTTCATCTGTTTCTTTGTCCTAAGCATATGAAAGGATAGTGTGGTCAGAGACATGCTCGGCTGGAATCGTTTTTTAAACGATAAATACATGTTGTCTGAGACTTGGCGGGACACTGGGCAGGTGAAGTAGAGTTGAGTAGGTCACATGTGACGTCAGTATATGAAGGGATAGTCCGAAATCAATGTTTTCGGTGTTTTTAAAAGATAAAAAACATATTTTTGAATGTGGGGTCTGTTTTTTGTGACGATAAGTGACACTGCAGTAGCGTAGCGAGGAGGGGGGGGGGGCGGTAGGGGAGGGGAGGCGGGTGGGGAGGGGAGGCGGGGAGGGGGGAGGGGAGGCGGGGGGAGGTGGATGGGGGAAGGGGGGGGGGGGGCTGGGGGGGACATATGTTGGGGCGCCAAAATGGTTTGGAAAAATAAATTGAAAGGTTGAGGGGGGTTCAAATCGATAGTTTGAGTGGGGGTGGGGGGGTGCACATCAAAAGCTTGAGGGGGGGTCAAATCGAAATCTTGCGGGGGGGGGGGGTTCAAATCGAAAACTTTGTCTCCGGGCGCCGGGAAGGGTCGCTATGCCTCTGAGTGACAGACGTGATGTTTTTTGATGGATGACCCCCGAAACCCCCAGTTATCCAACGGATGACGGGTATTCTAGTATACTACTAAAAGTCAAGTTTGTTTACATGTTTGAATATTTATTTTTTTGTTTGTTTGCCTGATTGACTATTGTGATATGTTCTACTCTATCTGGAGAGCTGTAAAATAGTATGTAGGTAGAGAATAATTTTTTAATGCAGACAGACCGTTAATCACACATTTATTTAAAGACGTTAATTAATTTATTGATTTATTCATACGTAGAGTAACCCTATTTTTTTTTAAAGTTTAGAACGACCACTACACTCGGCGGGACCGTGACGTCACATTTTATTGTTTACTCTTTAGTACAATAAAATGGCGGCGTCTATCGAAGAAAATTGTGTTCCCATTCAAAAGTTTAACGCATTCTAAATCTAATTTTCTGTCGGTCATAACTTTAACAATATGTCCGTTTGCTGTATTTATTACGTTCCAACACTTATATCAATTTTAAACTGTCTTTTTTCATTTAGTTTTACAATAAATTTCTCTAGATCTAAAGATCAGCTGTCGAAGGAAAGTTATGAATCTAGCCTAGATTCTAGATCTAGATCTAGCCTAGATCTAGGTCACTCTAGACTCAATGTAAATTCTAGATCTAGACTTAATGTAAATTCTACATCTAGAATCTATTTCAGGCCTTAATTATTTTATATAAATCTTTGTTTAGCTTCAATGATCATCTAATTTGAGAATACATGGGATTTTTTTTTTATCTAGGTTCTATATCTAGATATAGTAGGATTACTCACTAACTTGGAGGCGTGGTCGGCTGCTAACAACAATATGGCGTCCGGACCGGACGCATGGCTTCCGACCATTTTTAGGCCATGTTTACCACGAGCAAAATGGCGGGTGTTCACTTTATTTAAACATGGTATAGGTGGCCAGGGCTAGATATGCCAGAAAAGCATTTTAAAATTTGCTTTGGAGAATGAAGGCTAAATTTTAAAGTCAGTGTCATAAAAATTAATAGAACTTTTTTTTTTTACGTTTTCAATTATTTTTTCTTAAGCCCTATATATGAATGATAAGGTTGACTATCAGGACCTCGCGGGGCACAGGGCAGGTGAAGTAGGGTTCATCTTTCTTTGTTCTAAGCATATGAAAGGATAGTGTGGTCAGAGACATGCTCGGCTGGAATCGTTTTTTAAACGATAAATACATGTTGTCTGAGACTTGGCGAGACACTGGGCAGGTGAAGTAGAGTTGAGTAGGTCACATGTGACGTCAGTATATGAAGGGATAGTCCGAAATCGGTGTTTTCGGTGTTTTTAAAAGATAAAAAACATATTTTTGAATGTGGGGTCTGTTTTTTGTGACGATAAGTGACACTGCAGTAGCGTACCGAGGAGGGGGGGGACGGTAGGGGAGGGGAGGCGGGGGGGGGGGGGAGGGGAGGCGGGGGGGGGGGGGGGGGGGAAGGGGTGGAGGGGGAAGGGGGGGGGGGCGGGGGGGGGGGACATATGTTGGGGCGCCAAAATGGTTTGGAAAAATAAATTGAAAGGTTGAGGGGGTTCAAATCGAAAGTTTGAGTTGGGGGGGGGGGGGGGGGGTGCACATCAAAAGTTTGAGGGGGGGGGGGTTTAAATCGAAAAGTTTGTCCCCGGCGCCGGGAAGGGTCGCTATGCCTCTGAGTGACAGACGTGATGTTTTTTTGATGGATGACCCCCGAAACCCACAGTTATCCAACGGATGACGGTATTCTAGTATTTTATTATCATGCAAACAATGAGATAAATTTGGGTAATTTCAAGTATTTATTTCACAATCTATGACTCTTATAAATCAATCTAGTTTTTAACCATTAAGTATCTTGTTTGTGTGCTGTCAAATCTAAAAGCTTGTCAATTTTGTAATGTTTAATAACAAAAAATTATGTTCTTTTAAAAGACATCATGACATGTATAAATTAAATTTTTACTTGTCTATATGCAAAAAATAGTATAAATTACAAAATATCTTAATTATTATATGCAAATTAATAGCATGAAGAAATTAAATCCCAAGATTAATATATCCTGTAAACACTACACATCGTTTGGCAATGGATTGAAATAACCAAAGATACAATGCTGCTCTTGATCTGACACAGGATCACAGGTATTATATTGTTGACGTAACCCTAACCCTAACCCTAGTAACGGTCATTTAAATACTGTTGAACAACTTTAAATCTTAAGCCTCAAAATGTTTATTTGGTTAAACATGGTCAGGAAAAGTTTGAATGAATTTTGTCTTTAATAGATCTTTATTTGAAGTTTTAACAAAATAATAAATTTATAAAAAAACAAAGCGATATATAAAACTATTTGGAGAGCACATTTTATAATACAACTACAATACACAAGATGAAACTATCAATAATTTGCCGTTTGTTAATGGTTTTTTAACATATCCGTTATTTTTAAAAGAAAAAGCTAATGTACTGGTTCATCTAAATGGTTAGTGTTTATTTTTTATAAATCCTTGTGCGTTTCTGGTAAAATAATAAACAATTGACTTTAAAATCATTGAATGTGTTGGAAACTCTATATCATTAGGCAAGTTCGTTTCTTATTTTAAAGAAAATGTATTTGATTAAAAAGTATAAAAAAGAAATAAAATAAATGCTAAAAAAAGAGCACAAATAAAATATGTGTTCTCCATTTGTGAGCTTTGGAACTGTGCTTTTATGGTTAAATAAAATCAACTAAATATCTATCTTATTTAATGAACATAGCTTTATAGTTACATAAGTAAAGATTTCTTTGGAAGTGTAGCTGGAACAAAATTCGACAAAGCATTATCATGTCCCCAGTATGAAATAACTTTAAGATGTCCTGGAACAGTATATTTTCTATTTGCATCTGGCGGATCTTTCTCTGGGAGATTTCCGAAAATAATCAATTTCTCATTGTAGGTTAAAGCCCCGTATTGTTTTCTTTGGCAATCCCATAGTTTAGAAAAAAATTTTATCTCAATTCTTTTTAATGGCGATGCATTCAAAATAACCCACAGAGAGCCATTTGTCTGTAATATGTAGCTGTGTTTGTCGTTCTTGAAAGTGGTCAGCTGGTCTGCTGCTCCATCCAAATCGGTTAGTTTAGTACAACCGTCACAAGGAAACTCGTAATTGTGAACAACTGTATTCTAAATGTTGTTATGAGTTTCAGAGGAGAAAATTAGAAGGGAATTTTCAAAGATAGTTGCGTGCTTTACAACTAATTGCGTTGGGATTTTTGTGAATTTTGTAAAATCCGAACGTCTTGGATTTATATGATAAATTACATTATCACTTTTGTCTAAGATGTAAATAAACTGCCCATGAGAAACAAGTAACACATTGTTACAGGGCAGATTAAAAAATTTCTTTCCAGGCGTTCCCAGAGAGGACAAACAATTTATATTGCTGCGTGTTTGGCTAGTTAAGAGGTTTTCCTATTGCGTACAAGTCTGAGTCAAACGTGACAAGCTGAATATTTTCTTTTAAACCATCACATATTGGCAAAGGGAACCAAGTCTCATCGCTAGCACGTATAGCTCTAAACTGTCCATCTGTTCTTGCATAAGCCCCAACGTGAGTAAAGCTACTACAAGATCTGTGCATAGCAGCTGATGGCCACTGGCCGTCTCTTGAAGGTTGGGCTTGGTACGATAAAGCGCTGACAATTATATCTCTAAAGTCTTTATTTTCAGAACACATTTTAAGATGATAAACTCGTGTTAAAACCGCAGGAGTAACTAGATATGTCCTCACCAGACTCAGTAATTCTGTCATTTTATCTTTTCTAGACAAATGCTCGGTTAATGCAACATTAAGCGATTTATCAGAAGGTACTTTTTCCAATTCACTGCCATATTTTTCTTTGTTGACTAATATGTTTGTGTTAATAATATCTGTGTTAGCATTATTTGGAGCATAGCAGTCGACCCATCTTATCACTGATTCTAACACGATATCTTCATTACTGACACGAAGATCCTGGCTTTTTATCAATTCCCGAACTTCGTTGAAAGGCAGTTGTAGATATATTGCTGAAATACTAATTTTTTCAAAGTTTCTCAACATGAAGCTTTGAAGTTTATCTAGAACAAAAGTTGAGCCTAAAAGTTTAGCTGTTACATAAATGTTTTCCCAGTTATCAATTGTAATAGAGTTATTTGCAAATATTTCGCACATTTTTACCATAAAATTAATCTGCAACATGTGCACAGCCCTCCAAACTTGAATGAAATTATCCAACGTTAGAACATTGACACCTGTGTAAAGTGTTTTCAGAATCAACTGAAATATTTCATAGGAAACATCTCTTAACACAACGCAGTTTTCTGTAACCTCCCTCATTCCTGATCGAAACAACGCTTGGAAAAATTCAGAGCAGGCCGCAAGAACGAGCTTATGACATGTGATTGTGTCATTGTGTATCTTGATTGTAAAGTCGAGAAACATTTTGTCTGTCCACACAATCCCGAGACATTTCACGACCTCTGTGCAGATTTCAGTCGAGTTCATGTTGTAGGCAGATCTGTGAAGTAGTTTTAAAAAAAAATTAACCCTTATACAAACGCACACGCACACGAACACATACACACATAAAGAACGAGCTTATGACAAGTTATCGTGTCATCTTGTATCTTTATTGTAAAGTTGAGAAACATTTTGTCAATCTACATGCTTCCCAGGCATTTCGTAATCTCAGAAAACTTTTTTCAAGAGTGGTCATGTGTGTGTGTGTGTGTGTATTTAACATATGTACTAGTAGAGTTGAGTATAGTTGAAATGTAGTAGAATATAGTACAATACAGTGGAATAATGTAATACAATATAGTATAATTTATTCGTAATGAGTAGAATAGAACAAAATAAAGTAGAATGTATAATAGAAGAACACGTTCAGAATGTAGTATATCATGAGGAGTGCAGTAGAAATATGTATAATATTAGTCCTATAGTCAAGACACAACATGCCTATCAACTGTCGTTTCCAATGGTAACGTACCAAATAATGTATTCATAACATATTTACACGTGTAGTAGTAATACATTATTCTTAAAACATTTGATTTCACTTACCTTTATAAATCCTAATGAATCTGTTCCTAGAAACCAGCGTGACGAAATATTTCATTTTAGATCATACGTTTTTAAAATAAGTCCTTTAATGTAAAGAATGCCGGCACTATGTTTCTTGGATCTTAGTTGTCTGGGCGCGGGTTTGTCCACAATATAGCCCACGGACGAGCTGTGTGAACAAACCTTGAGTGTACGTTAATCACACTACGTATTCGTGTAAGAGAACATCCCTCAGCGAGTGACCTGGTGTCAGTGGTATCGTTGGGGCTCTTGAGAGCAAACTAAACCGTAGAAAATTATTTCAATCGGTCCTGAACTTTACACTGGATCCTTCGGTAGTAAGCAATGCTTGTTTGTTCATGTGCATTGTATTCTACATTACACACACTTACGACATAAATGAACCATTACTATTCTTACATTTATTGTTTAAAATATTCAAATGTATCTACTAGAATAATTTGCAAGCTATGGCCGTATATCATTTCTTCAAACGATCTAAATAGTAAAAATTAGTATTACCATACATAAGGTATCAAAGATAAAGATGATTCAGTTATAATGTTTAGCCTACGGGTAAATTATATTTAATATTAATCTTTACACCAAGTCAAGCAGAATTATGAAAACCGAACCAATAAGACTTAAAGTAAAACTATCAAACTATGTAGGTCTAAAATGTGCCAATTTTGCGGAAAGCGCTTAACGATAAGCAAACAAATCAACAGCTAATCCGCAGAACACGTTACATTGATCATAATATGCTCAGTCATATTGTTTTTGCGCTTTATATAATCGACTTACCTTTTTAAAATAATTATTATTAGTACATAGACTACAAGGTTTGAAGCAAAGGTTGTTTACAATGTTGACACCCCATAGACGCACCTCGTTGGTGCGAAAACATAAATTTCTACTTCCAAACTCTTTCAGTGCGCAAGAATTCAGTTACATCGATAAAACTTTAACATCGATAGGTCTATGGTTGTGTTCAATAATGACACGTGAACTATCATATTGATGCCGAGGTATATATCTAATAGATGCATTGTTTTAATGTTTTTATTGTGGTTAGCATATAGTTGCAGCCTATAACTTTAAGACTTTCGAATATGGATATGAAGAAGAATATTTATATGCAATACAGCTTTGGGAGTTTGAAATCACATGTATGAATATTCTAGATTTAAATACATGCATGATCTTGTTGTGCTTTGATTTAAAGTTATGACCACTAATAATTTTTACTTAGATTTGATTACTTCGGTGCTCTAATTATGCTGCAAGTGTACAATATTATCTTCATTGCGTTCCGAAATTAAAACTGAACAAGGAAGTAATCAATTGTTTCAATGAATGCAAATATCGGTTCCTAAATAGTTTAATCATTTACACATTCTGACACTTGTATATAATATGTACTTGTTAAATGTAGGTATAGAGTCTAGACCAAAGATCATTAACACGGTTCAAGTCTTCAATGAGTAATCGTTAAAACAATCTTTAAGTGATGACTGTGTAGGCTAAAGATACGTTTGTATTAACGAATGATTGGTTTGCAGTAATGCCTATATACTTTCTCGTATAATAAGTATAGAGAAAGTATTGTAGTCGTGCAAAAAAAAAAACAAATTCTCGACGTTTTATAGCTCCCTGAGTCGGAAACACATAGTTTTGCAATCTTGTCCTTATGTCTGTCTGTTTGTGTGTGTGTGTGTGTGTGTGTAAACTCGATAAATTGAGTACCGTTACAGCTAGGTTAATGAAGTTTCAAAAATAAGTATTTTATAAAAATCGAAGATATATATATTAAATTTTGAGCGATTTCCAATAACCGGAAGTGGAACTTTTTGTACTTTGAATTTTTCAAAAGCCTTTAACTTGAGTACTAATTCAGATATATAAATGAATTTTCATATTTAAGTAAAAGATCTAATTCTCTGCCTTCTGTTAAATTTTGAGTGATTTCCGTTTACCGGAAGTAGTAATTTACGCTATTTCTGATTTCTCAAAAAACGCATGTGAATTTATAAAGTACTAATAATAATCCGCACAAAATCTGCACATTTTGTTAGGAGATCACTTGGTGTGCAATTATTTTTCTACGAGATTCAATTCTATTTTTAAAAGTTTAAGTATTTAAATTGAATAAAAAACATATCTATATCCCGAGTTGCCATCCCCTGTTGTTTTACTTAAGGATATTCGAGAAAGTTAAGTAGAGATAACTCCCGGTTTATTATCATTATCCACGCTTCACTTCCAATGTTTTCTCACAAATGTGTTTATAGCATTGGAATAATATGTTGTCTAAGTATTTATAAATTGGGCTGCTGTATTTGGTGATAAAACTTGTGCTAACTAAATTTCAAACTATTCCATCTAAATTGGAATTTTATAATAAATGTATGCAACTTAAAAATGAAAAAAAATAACTACTCAAAACAATCTATTTATATTTTATTATCTTGTAAATAAGCATATAATAAAAGTAATTTTAAGTAAATATTTGACAATCCATATTTACAACTTCACAACTCCAGCTCAGTCTATTATAATTCGAGCTAGTTTTTAATTGTTCATTATCTTCTTTGTAATCTTAAAAACATGTCAATTTTGATAAAAAAGTATAGTGTTTTAAAATACATCATGTTATTTATACATTGAATTTGTTCCATGTGTATAGTGTGTATATGCAAATAAATAGTATGAAACGAAGAAATCCCAAAATTTATATATGCCAACAAATAGTATAAAACTATAAAAGCCCTAAGAATATATTCTGTAAACACTATACACTGTTCGGCAATGGATTTAAATAACCGAACATACAAGGCTGCTTCAGATCTGACGCAGAATCACGGTATTGTATGGTTGGAGTAACCCTAACCCTAGTAACGGTCATTAAAAAACAGTTGAAATACTTTAAATCTTAAGTCTCAAAATGTTCATGGTCATGACATGTTTTAATGAATTTTATTTCTAATAGATCATTATTTGGAGTATTCACAAAATATAAATTTTGTTAAAACGCAAAGCTAAATTATATATAACTATTTGGAGTTGCACATTTTAAAATACAACTACAATGTACAAGATGTGACTATCAATAGGTTGCCGTTTGTCAATGGTCTTCAAAGATAAACATATCCGTTATTCCTAAAAAAAGCTAATGTCCTGGTTCATCAAAACGGCTAGAACTGGTCAAAGTTTGATTTTTTTTTAATAACTCTTTATGCGTTTCTGGTAAAACAATAAACTATTGACTTTAAAGTCGATAAATGTGTGGGAAACTCTATAACATTAGGAAAGTTCGTTTCTTGTTTTAAAGAAAGTATATTTGCTTAAAAAGGATTTTTTAAAAAATAACAAAATAAATGCTATAAAAAATGTGTTTTCCGTTAGTAAGATTTTGAATTGTATTTTTATGGTTAAATAAAATCAACCAACTATATTTCTTATTTATGTACACAACTTTACAGTTACCTAAGTAAAAATGTCTTTGTAAGTGTAGCTGGAACGAAATTTGACATTGCATCATCATTTCTCCAGTATGAAATAAATTTAAGATGTCCTGGAACAGTTTTTTTCCTATTTGCATCTGGCGGATCGCTCTTAAGACTATTTCCGAAAATAATCAACTTCACGTTGTAGGTTAAAGCACCATATTGTTTTCTTTGGCCATTCCATAGCTTAGAAACAAATATTATCTCAATTCTTTTTAATGACGATGCATTCAAAATAACCGATAAAGAGCCATTTGTCTGTAATATGTAGCTGTGTTTGTCGTTCTTGAAAGTGGTCAGCTGGTCCGCTGGTCCATCCAGATTGGTTAGCTTGGTACAAACGGCTGACGGAAACTCGTAATTGTGAACAACTGTATTCTCAATGTTGTTATGAGTTTCAGATGAGAAAATTAGAAGGGAATTTTCAAAGATAGTTGCGTATTTTATATCTAATTGCGTTGGAATTTCTCTGAATTTTTTAAAATCCAAATTCCTTGGGTTTATAAGATAAATTACATTATCACTTTTGTCTAAGATGTAAATAAACTGTCTATTAGAAACAAGTAACAAAAAATTGTTACCGGGCAGATTCAAAACTTCTTTCCAGCCGTTCCCAGAGAGGACAAACAATTTATATTGCTGCGTGTTTGGCATGTTAAGAGGTTTTCCTATTGCGTACAAGTCTGAATCAAACGTGACTAGCTGAATACTTTCTTTTAAACCATTACAAGTTGGCAAATCGAACCAAATGTTATCGCTAGCAAC